AAACGGATAGACGAAGCTTGTTTCTTCGAACAGAGGATTACGCGATTATTCTTTCTGACGGTGATCAACGGCCGGCTTTAGAGGGGAAATTTAGGTTGACAGACATTGAACGGGAACCTCGCTCTCCTCGCTGGTTTTAGATGCTTTTAAACATTTCTCGACTAATTAGGTTTTGTTTCTATATTAGGGCTATTGATTCGAAACGGGTACCCGTGAAATACCCGGGTAGTCGAGTATTTCGTAAGTGAGAGGATTGTATATTAAAGCTATTGATTCGGAGCGGGTACCCGGGTAGATAAAATTATCCGAGTAATTGGGTATCTCATAAACAAGAAGCCTATATATTTGGGCTATTGATTCGGATCGGGTACCCGAGTATTCGTGAGATACCCGCTTTGACAAAATTACCCGGGTAGTCGGTCATATCTCATGAGTTAGAAGCATATTCTATATTATAATTTTAAACTTAATTTATGCGATTGCTGAGTTTAGAATTTCATTAGTCTGAAATTATTAATATTTACAATTCCTTTCTTCCTTCTGTTTACTTTTAATTTTATTTTTGTCCAGCACTGAAATTATATTTGTAATACGTACAGAAGGGTTGGAATTCATCAGTGTTTGAAACACAATTTTCCCGTGTTGTTATTAGACGGGAAATAAGTAAAAGCTTGTTAAAGTTCCTAGGATTGAACTTTTTTCCAGCGGCGAGTGCTTCGCAGTTGTTTGGAGTTGAGCGTTTAATTACATTTACCATATTTAACAGGCTCGCCAACATTCCAGTAGGTAGCTATTCCAGTTTTATCAGAACTTTAAATCGTTAGCATTGGTGAATAGGAGGGAAGTTTGATTACCAATGAAGCTGGAGAATGGATACATTCAACGACCTACATTTTATAACTCCTAGAATTTTAAATTGTACATTACACTTTTATCTTCTACTGTACGCTAAAACATCACGAACAGTATTACTCAATCTTATACATAAATAATATTCTTAAATCACACTCTTAATCTACCATTTATAATTATCGCAGTAATTTCATTAGAACAAAATTATTTCGATTTCCAATTAATTTTAAATTATTAATTACAAGTAATAATAATGTACAAGCGATACATGAAGAATGTATTGAAAAATAAACTAAATTATTTATGAATTGCACAAACAAATCACCGCGAAATACCTTCTGAAAACTACAATTCCCACAAGGATATTCCTGAAACTGCAACAGCGTCGTTCAAACGGTCAATACCAAGAAATCGTAAGACATCTTCGAAATCAGCATCGAGATCCAAGTTGACAAAAGAATTCGTGGATTCTTTATTACGAGAGCATCTCGAACATCGCGTCTGTCGATAGTGCAACGAACAGAGCTGGCTAAGGGTAGGGGGGGTGGAATTTAGGAGGATGGGTCTTGATCGCGAATAGATGCGCCGATCTCGAACAAAAGGATGTCTCGGCAAAAGTAGCCCGAAAAACGCTGATCGCTAGCGGAGGAATGGCAGAGGGAGTGTACGTCGAAAAGTTTCCCATTTTTTTCTCTCCATTTCTTACCGACGGGGCGGCATAATTATAGATTTTTAATCAACCGATTGAAATGCAAATATCTACTGCAGAGGGTCGGTCTGCAGTGCTTGCAAGGAAGGGAAACTCGAAAGGGAAGAGGGGGGGGATGGTAGATGGGGTTGGAGGGTTGAATGGGAAGAGAAACAGAGACGGAGAAAGGGAGAAAGGCGGCGAAGGAGCGAGAGGGTGAGGGGGTGGGATAGAGGAGGAGGCATGAAATCCGTAATGCCGGTATAAACTTTCCAGGGAGAGGAACGAAATCAATACTTCAATATCCGCAGTAACAGCAGCTGGAGTTAACAAGGGTCTGATTGAGCCAGAGTTTGCTGCTAAGTTAGCGTGTTTCGAGCTTCACGATCCAAGGAATCGAATTTGCGCGCGTTCCTTTCTTTCTTTTTTTTTCCTTTTTTCGTTTGTTTGTTTGTCGCTTACTGGATATCCTTGCTCTAGTCCGCTTTCTTTACGACCACGTGGTGCACGGTCCTCGTAGTATCGAGTAATCGAAACCGCGTTTTCTTCCTTGATTCTTTCCCCCACGACTTTGTCGATGATTGCTACTTACTTACTACCGAACTTCTTCATCGATCTTTTGCTTCTTGATTGGATTTCACTTTTCGTATCTCGGTTCTTGTTTAAGTAGTTAGTTCTCTGCGGTGATAATACTCGAAAGGATATACCCGTTTCCTCTTTCTTGGACTTTCTATTTAATGAATTCGTTTATTATTGCTTTCATCGATTGAATTTTGTGTTCTATTACTTATCGACGAGATTGGAACAATTTTCACTTGAATAATAATTTTTGTCTTTTTCTTTTCAAGTATTTGTAGCTATAAATGATTCAATAGTGATCAGAGGTTTATTGATAACTTTTTAATTAGCAGTTGACGACATTGAAAAGCATAAAGTTTTATTTTAATTTAAATTCTTTTAGCTAACATCGCTTAATGCCTGTATCAATATTTTATAAATATTTCATTTTCTAATTCTATTCAAAGGGAGTAGTTCAAATTTGTTTACGTTCTATTATATTAAAACTATAATTTGACCTAGTTGCATTTGACATCCTGTATGCTCTTTGATAAACCATACATTATCACACACGAGTCTACAAAGTCAGCATTGCTCTTTACCCAAATACAGTAAATTCAAATGTATTTCGGCACGATTCAACGTTCATCTCGTATTTAACTCAATAAAATCTCCAAACATATCCAATCAATGATTACTATCTGACCAACAAATTCTATCGGCTGTTATACGCGTTGAGCAATTCACAAACTGCCGATTCGTTATTCGCATGTCATGACTTACCTACATCTAACTGTGCGTGCTCGATAGGAAAGACAAACACGGGAGCCATTAACCAACGGATCCGGTAAATTTACAAAGGATTAACAATAGTTAATACGATTCAGCATCGTCTAACAGATAAATTCAAGCAGCAAACTCGAATATACCGGGTGTTGCTTAACATAACGAGAATCAGAAAGGGCGTCGTTCTATTTTCCACTCGGCGGTCGCGTTTAATTGTTCGCGTCTCGGCGAGTTGTTTGCGGATAGAAGAACTTAATCGCGTGCAAAATGCTTTTCCGTGCGAGCATAAGCGACCCGAATCGTCGAGTTTACGAGCGATGGTAGTAAAATGTCGGGAAGGTGGAAAAATCAAGCAGCGGCCTTCCTATTAGTCTGTTTGAATAGCAAACTCTTTGTTCAAACGTTACTGGGTCCAGTAAAACTGATTAATTACCTGTATTTTTTGAATTTTTACAAAGTGGTCTATATTTTTAATTGAGTATTAATTATTTTTTGGAAGGTACTGACGATAAATAAAAGTATTAGAAAATAAAAAATGGAAACTTCATTCTGTATACTTTTTAGGAGTGTCGAGGACCCGTAGTTACGGGTACCCGGGAAGTCGGGTTGAATTTGGATTGCTTTGATTAGGTTGGGTCAAATTTGAATTACTCAGATCAGATCGGGTCAATTTGCATTGCTCGGCTCCCTTCGGGTTGGTTCGAGTCAGATTGGAATTGTCCGACTCGAGTCGGGCTCCAGATCAAGTTGGAATTATTCGAGTCGCGTTGATTCCGGTTGGAATCGCGAAGTCGCGTCGTATCGAGTTGGAATTGTCCGAGTCGAATCGGATCGGGTTGGAATTGTTCGAGTTGAATCGGATCGACTTGGAATTGTTCGAGTCGCGTCGTATCGAGTTGGAATTGTTTGATTCGAATCGGATCGGCTCGGAATTGTTTAAGCCGCGTCGTATCGAGTTGGAATTGTTCGAGTCGAATTGATTCGTCTTCTTGAAAGTACAGATATGCGGCAATCCGAAAATTTCGAGTACCCAATACTCAAATCTATACTTTCGAGCACCCGACTCGACCCCAACAATTCCAACCCCACCCAACTTTATATTTATGCAGTACCCGCGCACTCTTAATCCTTATTAATGGGTGATCCCATCTTTTACTGATAGTCTACATAGCACCCAGATCTTCATGAAAAGAAATGGGTCAAAAGTGACCAGTTATCACGTGGATCAACGGGCGAAAGAAAAATTGATCGTTTCATCGTTTGTCGCTCATTAATCATGCTTCCCTTATTGTTCACTCACGCAGCCAGATTTCTAGCTTTTGCTTATATCGCATTCCCTCGTCCGTACATCACTGACGGTTTCTTCGTCGTTTATCAAACGATCGCGTCGTTCTTAAGCGTTTCGTAATTTCGTTCTATTGCAGAACTGTTTATTCCCCCTAGCGTGTTTTTCGTCGAGGAAACTCTTTCACTCGGCCGAATCAATATCGAAGAGATCCAGGCTGCGATTCCGTTCGCTAGGAGAAAGCGAACGGAGGAGGCCGAAGATAATAGGATTGCCGGCACACTTCCGTGAGCTTAGCATCCTTCGATCCCGAAGAATTTCCTCTCGAATCCAGCTTGATCGTATTAATACAAATGCGCAAGTTGGCGCGGGAGAGATCGGGACGTAGGGAAAAGGTGCATCGGAGGATAAACGCGGCTGAGCCTGAAGGAAATTGCATTCCCCGCATCAATCTCTGTCGTGGCTGCTCGCTGGCCAGCTTCTTCCCGGAGGGAGGTGCAGTGAAAGCCTGTGGAATTTTTCAATATACCTATGCCGGCTTGCTACCTAGTCTTCTGTTGTTTCACATAATTACGAACAAGCAACAAGAATCGCCAGGAATTTTATTCTTCTTCTTCTGCTCGATCGAACGAACTTGACGATTAACACGATATTCCTTTCTATTTTCTATTTGAAACGTGTCAGGCGTTCGATACTTATGAAATTGAAAGTTTCTAATATAAATTCTAAATTAGATTGAAAAATAGAAAAAATGTTAACCAAGTGAAAATATTCATGATTTAAGAAACCACCCTTATTCTCGCTGTTCTTGCTCAAATAATTATCCTCCCTTCGATCATTTAATTCATGAATTTTTAATTTCCACTCCCCTCGAACAGGGAATTCAGCCTGTCCAAACAACTAAACCCCTGAATAACAATCCCGTAAGCTATCATAGGCAAACGCGACGGGCAATCGTAGGAAGAATTAGTTCAAATAAAAACGTTTCGGTTCGTCGATCGAGAGACAAAGCGAACGCGATCAGGCGCGAAATAAAATATGCAAATGGGGTTCGCGAGATCGTCTCTCCGTTGGAGCGTGCGACGTAAAATCCGCTGGCGGATCGATGAGGAGGATCGCGGGGCTGAAATTAAAAGAACACACAACCGGTGAATCGGTAAAAGCCGGCGGACTTGGAGGATTGAAGACGAAACGATGGTCGAAATGGCGACGTGGCTCCGGCAATATGGCTGAGGAACACCAGTTCAATATCGGTTCCTCCATACACACTTGCTCACGTATGTGTATATATATCTGTGCGCTCGCGTATGTGTGTGTGTACGGAAGCAAAGAGAGAATCGGTTTTATTGTAATGTGTCGCGGCGATTATTGAAGAGCGTGCGAAGTGTCGAGTGTTTGATGGTGTGCGAGAAGGAACCGGCACTAGAGGGTGAGGGTGGAAAGGGTGTAGATTCTGGGGCAGAAGTTATTGGCTGTGTTTCTTCTTAACGCCATCCAATATCAAAGTTAATATTGCCGCGAACAACTCGTCGAGCTCGCAGACCCGGTCCGCGTGATTAGGCCATCTTCGATCGCTTCAACGGACTTCCCTCAAAGCCTTCACCGACTTCGGATAAAAGTTCCTCGATGTGTTCCCTCCGCATAGGTGTGCTATGGTCCGATTCTTTGAATTCGAGTCTCGACCCTTATTCCGGTTCTATCTGTACCGGGAAAATCTCCCGGAAGAAGCCTTGTGCGATGGCAGACTTGTTTTTGTAGTTCAGTCTCTTCCTGACAGTTATTTTCCTCTCGACCATCGATCAGCTCGATTGGGTGGAACGAATGGAGACGTTCGGTAATAATTCTGTTATTGGTTGCTTGTTATTACAATTGTAGTAACTGTAAATAAGGTACTGATATCTTGGTATAATTTGTCAACTTATGAATATTTTTATATAAAAAAAAATTAATACACCTTCTGAGTTAATAAGAAAGTTTAGATATATTACATTAATCCTTGAACTGTAAAGCCTGGATCAATCGTGAGCCAAATTTACAAAAAATTTACAATTAAATGTATAATTTTTAAACGAAAGAGTTTTATATACTGACAAAATAATTTTTAAAATTAAACAAATTAAAATTTGGGTCTCTCTTCATGGTCCGTCGTCCGAGGGTTAAATGAAGTATAGCAATATCTTTAAGAAATATTAGGATAATTTTAAGTAAATTAATATTGTTCAGAATCTTCTAAAAATAGTTGTTGAATGCATAAAGTTTTGATTTTTGTTTTATGCATTTGGCTTGATTTGATTCCTAATATACTTGTTCCAATTGCATGGTTCAGCTTATGTGTTACTTACCAAGGATCGTAATTATGTTCTGCGTGGTACAGTTTTCCTTCCTCCACGATAACGATACTTTTCTAATTCCGACAAAACATTCCTTAGGGAGTGGTAATACGGCTGCGGTTCTAACGAGAAACCATAAGCACGTAAGAGAAGTATGCCACACATACAGAGCCACTGTAGGACCTTATGTTACGACTTACGTTAGGTACGTGCTTACGGCTTACCATTACGATCACAGCTTAAGACGTGGCTAAACTAAGTGCTAGAGAAACCGGGCGCGTTTATCAAGAAACAGTCCTTGCAACAGCTTGTTCCTAATAATCTCCCTAATTTATCAGCTCAGTTGCGTACGATAGGATTTGAGGTTTCGGCTGTTAGTCTCCTGGCTCGATAAATTGCCACCTTACCAACTATTTTCACTCGTTTCGGGGTACTATACAATTTATGTCGTTCACTCAGCACGAAAGACGCGGTCGCGCCGACTGGGATTGCGAAATTTATTTCGCCCACGCCTCGTCGACGCTCGAGTAATGCGAAAAGTTCGAACGTCGATCGAGCAACTGTTAAAAAATGTCAGAAGTTGCTGGCTCGAATCGTTTTCTCCTTCTCCTTTGGTTTCTACGAAGATTCTTTTGTTTCGAGATTTATCGAACTTCCGTTTATTTCGATGTCTTCTTCAGAGTTTATGGGTTTGACTGATACGCGAGAGTGTTGATTGAACACTTACGTTATTGCGGAGGACCATCAGTGGATGGTACCGCAAATGAAACGTAATCGAATAATGGAAAAAAAAAGAAGAGAATAATAGGGAAATATTATTTTGAATAGTGCGAGTATTATTTGATCGATTGATGTTGATTTATTTTCTCAAGAGGAACATCCCTGTTTTTATTACTTCCTAATTACTAGAATACCGGTGCATAATAGCTATATTCCAGAAATTAAATATAATTGAATAATTAAGAAAGGCGTAAGAAAATATTAAGGTTACTATTAATAATAATGTGAATCAGTGATTTATTTTCTCAAAAGGAACAACCCCTTCCTTGTTACTCCCTCATTTCTGGAACGTCCTATATAACACATATAATTTCAGACCACCTCGTTCTTCACAAATGAATAACGAGCGCCTAACTCGAGGAAAACGAGTTCGATCGAGACCTCTTCTGAAACTTGATTCCAAACTGCTCCAAATTCGGAAAAAGTGGAGTGTTAAAAACGTTTCCAAAGTCTTCTGAAAATTGCCGGAACCTCTTCGCTCCGAGCAGCAAGAAGTTGACTCGTTAAGCAGTCCTCGTTCCAAAGCTCGTTTACCTCGAAGCGATGTCAGCTCATCGAATACTCGTGAGGATTCCGTTCTCTCGAAGAATGTCGCGTAGGTGTGCCGTGAGAAAGCGACAAGAAGAGGAAGAAGCAGACGTCACCACGATTGAAGGAGAAATCGGCGATAGGTGGCGAAGAGAGTGGGTGGCGGTAGACTTTATCTAAACACGACAGGAGTGTCTGGTGATGAATCGTTGCCAGCTTCAGCCAACGTGTATAGCTAGCTGGTCTCAGCAAAGACTCTGATCCTCGTCGACGATCACTCGAATGCACTCCGAACAGCTATCTCCGTTGTGATAGCGATAACAACTTGCCACCTAACCCGTGCACGGAGATTCCACTGCGCCATTTAGCTGTTCTCTATGGCCTATTTTGGTGCTGGACGAGCTACGATGCGGCTAGTTTCCCGACCAACCTTCATCCTGGATTCTTTTACGAGCCACCGTTACGTCGACGAATAATAGAGGTTGCTTTAGGGACGAACGTCCCGATGTTTGTTCCCAATTTGCTCGCTTTCATGGGCCACACGGTTGTAAACGACATAATTATTGTTATGGGAGAAGGTTGATGCCGCTTGCGGTGCCGGAAACGTTTCTTTTTTTATCGTTTGCTAAAGTTGCGATGCATTCAGGTCTGTGCGGTATTTTAGTTAGAAGTGCACCTGGTATTCTGTCGGGGATGTCTTGTGTGATTTTCTTACTTTTTGGAAATTATGTGGGACTGTTTGGAGGTTTTTACTGTAGGAACAAGGGTAGGCGAGGTGAATTATAAATTCATTTGATTTTAGGTTTAAAATATTATATAGTAATTGCATGAAAAAGTAGACTTCTGCATTTGTTAGTAGTTTTTATAATTTTAAATTGAAATAAGTACCCTTAAAATCAATTCAAGCTTTCTTATGGAAAATAGCACTGTAAGGAGAGCAGGAATATCAAAATCTTAATTTTAACGATATTAATATTAGAGGTAATTTAGAAATAAAATAATACAACTTTGAATTATTAAATATTATAAAAAGGTATAATAAATGAATCTTAAATAGTAAATTATGGATAGATAAGATTAAACCGTTTAGATGCAGGTCCCGCGTAAAGGGTTAAATCGTGTATTTTGTTTGAAATGCTCATCGTGCATATACAGGACAAAAGTTATATATTTACCTTATTAGAAGTTTCCGTTGAAATTGAAAAACTTTTCGTTCTAACGGGGTAGACAGTGAAAATAGCATAGCTATTCGCTAAGTTTAAATTGGTTGCACCTTCAGCCGTAGAGATCGTATTATCACGCGGCAAGTCGATAGTCTCAAATGAAACGTGCAAGAAGATAAGACGGTGCTAGCAACAATAAGCGCGCAAATGAAGACGGAAAAGAAAGTTTATTCTCGTGGAAAACAATGGATTTGAAGAAAATTTCGTAGAGAGAGGGGCAAGCCAGCCATCGTCGTCCATTTAGCGTTCCTTGAATCAGCTGGCGTTTCAAAGAGGGCGAAATTAAAATTCGTTTCCTCAATCTGCTCTAATTGCGTTAAGTTTCACGACTACCGTAAATTCATTTATTTCCTTTTAATTCTCGAACTTTCATAATTAAAGAGTGTACCCCACGGTGTACAAGCCCTCCCCTCTTTTTTTTTTTATTCTGCTCGAAGGTGCATAAAAGTAATTGCAATCAACGTTGGCGCAACTTCTTGCATTTTTATTTTTTTTCATTTTTTGGGTATCGTAAACAATAATGTGTAATATTTATTAAAATACAGAATACTTATTTTTAAAAAATGGATAAATTTTTAATTTTCTAACGAGCATTAATTATTCCTTAGCATTTGATTTAATGTTAGAATATCGGTGTAATTGAGCAGAGGCCTGGGTAGCTCTGAACTTCCCAAAATGTTGATGGGTCAGTTATAAAATTCTAAAATTCTAAAATTCTAAAATTTCAGAATTATAAAATTAAATAATTTGAAAATAATATTACCTTAAAATTTCAGTTTTCCAAAAATGTGGGTGGCCCTCCTCACCATTTTACAATTATAAAATTATAAAATTCTGTAATTGCAGAATTTGTAAAATTGAAAATTTCTAAAGTACCTGGCCCACCCTAGAAGAAATCCTATCAACTCCAATGCGTTAGAAATCTACTTTTTTTTTCAATTTTCAATTATCTTTTCATCGATAGATTGATAAAATTGAATAACCGATAGGATAATAGGTAACGTGAAATCCTTTGTAAAACACGAAACTAATGATTCCGATAACAATGATCGATAATAATATATGATACAAAGGCGTTTTCTCTTCCACGGCCTGTTATCAGTCAATTTGATCAGCTCGGACAGAATGAAGAAAATACTTGGCTCGCCTTTGATGGAGGGACTGAAAATTGAAACTGTACCACTTAATGACTTATTCATTCAGCTTACCTCGCTGACCTCTGTATCTCTTTTCACGGACGAACAGGTACACAAAGCAATGAAGGTACATAGAAATAATGAGAGTCCACCGAAAGAAGAGAGTTAATTAGTTACAGAACGAGGAGGTTTCATTTTAACTTGATATTTCTCTCTTTGACCTGCTCTATATAAATCTCGTAATTATTTATAAGCTGCTCCAGTCGATCGTGAACGGAAATGGAACAAAAGCTAAAATCCGTGCTTCTTCCGCTTAAACAGCGCGTTTGATCGATGCTGAAAATGCGGTAATGTCAAGTGATGAACAAAAGGGAAATGCTCCAGAGAAATAATCAGAGCCGCAAGTTCGGAAAATGAACGAGCAATTTGTTAAACGAGCATAATTTATTGTGATATTAATGAGAAAATTGTCATTCGTTGTGTTAGTGGTCATAAAAACGTATTTTGGATCAAAATTTCCATAAAAGTAATAAGAAGGTATTAAAAAAAATATTTCTCACTTATATTTTTATTGAAATACTTCATCGTCTAACCAATAAGCGTTCGCAAGGTAGAAATGAAGCGAAACACAGTACTATCAAAGCTGGAAATCTCAAGTTTGCAAGGCAAACATAATTAAAACTGCAAACGTAGAAACTGAAATCGACCGACTTAAAATTGCATCAAAAGTTAACCAGGAACCTTCTTCCTCGTATATTCTCGTTAAAAAAAGAAAGAAATTCAACGAATTTCTGTTTGATAAAACATTTTCTATAGTTAAAAAAAATTATTATTAAAGAGTGGCTTTTCTGTTTATTTTATATTAACCAATCTTAAAAGTGAAAAGTCTTTATCAATCAGTGCCTTATCAAAATTTCCGAAGTTTTATAGATGTTATTTATATTACTATATTAGAAAATTAATGGATTAGTAAATTGGAAAGCCAAAATACTGGAAATTTCGAAAATTAATAAATTAGAAAATTAGAAAATTAGAAAATTAAGAAATTAGAAAATTGGGAAATTAGAAAATCCTAAAACTCTAAGATCCACAAATTCTAAAATCCTAAAATCCCGTAATTCTTTAATAATAGGTATAACATTAAGTTGTGGATGAAACGAGGATTATGGTACGTATTTGTGCTATTAATCTTAAAGGAAAATCTAAATAAATTTTAAACGACGAAAAAGATGCTTGTTTTTAACAATATCACCCATTGAAAAAAGAAATGCAACGCTTTGAAGTGTATTATTCGTAGAAAGAATCTTTGAAACGGTCGCAACAAGGCAAATAAATCAGATAATTGGTTTCTGAAGCGATTTGGACGGGAGTCCATTGAAATTGAGAGTCCTGCCGTTTCTCAGGAGTTTCGATCCTGAACGCGAGATACGTAGGCCATATAAAACCAGCCCCGAGGATGGTTTCCGCAAGCGAAGGGGATGTTGGACCATTCCGGACTGACGTACGAGTATTACCCCCATGGCATAATTGCCCCGTAACTCAGCCAACAACCCTCAGCGACAGTTCTAATAACGATGCTGCCGTTGGTTCTTCGACCCGGGGCATTTTTAACCATCGAAAATTTCGTTTAAACCCGACAAGTACCTGAACCGTGCACCTGCTTTCCGTGTTCCAGCTGATCTGTCCTCTTTATCCCGTCGTCTGGGGGGCTGTTTTGCTTCCTGGCAACGGCTCGCGAGAGAGACAAAGTTTCAGGACGAGTAACCGCTTAATGGAAAGCGGAATAGCCGAAGTTCCGAGCTTTTTGCCGAAATTATTACGGCGCCAAGTTCGCGGACACTTTTTTTTGCGGCACGCGTACCCGAAAAGAGAATAACGGCTCGGTAAAAGCGTGAATGGTCTTCGGGCTGGCTGTTCTTTTATCTTTTTTTCGGTCCACTTTGCAGTTGGAGAGTGTTGTAGGTTGAACCTTGAAAGCTTGAAAGATTTTTAGGATTTTTTCTTATAGGATTCGTTGAATTTCTACTGATTGCAATTAATAGATAACATTCATTAATTCTAGAATTAGAAAGGTTGAGACAGAGAAAAAGAGGAGTTTACTAACTACAAAATATTAATAATTTGCAAACAATTATTTATTGTCATTTCTTTTTCAAGCTTAATATTGAAAAAATGATCTTGACTTAGAAAAGTTAAAAGTGAATGGTTTAAACAAAAATCTTCATCCACTTTAATTTTAATTTTTCTCTAAATTTACGAACACTGGACATAAAAAAGGAAAGTTCGAAACATTAAATTATTCGCTGACCCGGTTAAGAACAGCCTAGAAACGTGAACATAAACGAAAATAACTATCCTGCTACAATATTACTCGAAATGGTGAGCGCCACAAAGGAAAGAACATTTCGATCTTTACTTCGTAATAGTTTACGTAACGACTTCCGAAGATTGGCTGGAATACAGTCGAAAACAGGACGCTAAAAGAGACCCATTGACCCAGTTACACGCGAGTGGACTCTGATCGATGGCGTTGTCGTGTGTTTTCCGAAAATTCCAGGATTACTCGAGCTCCATCCACGCGATGCATTAGAAAAGACAATTTTACGAACGATTCAGTCCATTTATCTGACCGTTCATTCAGCGATAAATTGAATTTTATACTTGATTAATTTATCTTCATATGGTAGACTATTCTTTTTATACGAATTCTTTCAAACGTAATTGTAAAAGGGATAATTAATCTATTAATTTGCAAAAATTTCGAATGTATTATTGGGCAACGAATACAGTTATTGAGTTCTATATAATGATTGACCCTTTTCCTAAAAAAGTAGAAAATATAATAATAACAAGATATGATAACAAAATTTGTCTAAACACAATAATAGCTTAATTTTTTGTAAACATTACAATTTTCTTATAATTATTATCAGTAGCAGTATAATTACATCGTTGCCTAACCATTATTCGTTAATTGCAGAAACAAAATGCGTATTAAAGTTCCAATTGAAGATCTTTAGATCAACTTAACTCCAAATAATTAATTCATTACATCAGACCTTTATTATCAGATGTTGCGTCTATTCACGTGATTATTTCCAAAGAATCAAGACACGGGTTGTAATCTTTAAACGAGCCTTCAGAGTCGCGAAAGGTACAAGGTTTGAAGTTCCTTACATTGGAAGATCCATGGTGGTAAGAGACTGTTCCACGTATATCTAAAAAGTAACACGCGCGTCCTTTCTGGCCGCTTGGAAGCTCTCGTTACGCTTTGGGCCGCGTCCAACCGGTCTCTTCCGTCGATGTCAGCCCCCCGTGAACGCTGGAAGGGGCGAACGGGAACCTCCCTGCAGCTCTTTCCAACTCGTCTTTGCCTCGTTTCTCCTGCTCCTTGTACGGGCCACGACGTCACGTAGCAAGATACTTTGCAGACGGACAGAAGAAGGGGTGGACGGAGGAGACGCCAGGGGGTGGGAGTGGAATTAGCCGACTAGCGACGGTACTTTGGTCGTGATCTCGATGGGGTGGAAACGACTCCTGCAGGAGGAACAACGATAGCGCTTTGGATATGTCCTGCCGGTAGTCAGGTGCCGCGTACGTGACGTTCCTTTTTTGCAGTTACCGTCCTTCCACCAGTCGACTCGTCGATGAAAGTTTTCTTTTCTTTCCTTTCATTTTATCCTTTTGACCCTTTCTTCCTTCGTTTTCCTACACCCTTCTCTGTCGTCGTTCTTCTTCGATGTTATCGATCAAGCCTGATAGGTATGCACGATGTACTAGCAGAATCTCGTTAACCCTTTGACTACGAAAGACGTATATATACGCTCAGTTGATTTTTCATAAACATATTTTCTATTGTCCTCAAAAGTACAGAAATTTCTTTAGATTAATAACAGAATGTTAACCTTCTAATTGGAGACGGCGAGTTAATCCGTCATTGGAAAATGCTCTTCTAGTAGTGATGACCAGTTAACTTGTTATGGAACTTTAAGCAGGAATCATGTAAATTTTAACATTTTAACTGGACTTGACATGTAAGGTTTTGGTAAGTTAGCCCCCTAAACTGATTAAATTAGAGAAATTAATTGTTCACATTCAATTGTATTAAAAAAAGAGATAAGGTAACATATACAGTTTACCCCTATACAACAGCGGTGCCTTTGACCCTTTTCTTAAAAGAATAAGAAATATAATATAATGCATTTCTTAGCCCTCGGACGGCGGACCATGGAGAGAGCCTGAATTTTAATTTAATAATGCATTTCATATTATTTTTCTGAACAATATTAATTTACCTAATATCCGAATGATTTTATTTCAAGTTATATTTCAAAAGTTCCTAGTTTCAAGGTGTTTCCAACAATTCACAAATGTTTAAATGAATATTGATCACACTTCGATGCAGCTGCTCCAAATAAAGTTCGTTAATGTTGCAGTCTTTCTTCGATATGAATGTCAATTAAATCGTAGAAGATTGTCCAGGAGGTCGTGATATAATAATGTTAGGAGAGTTCAAAGACACTGGTTTAGTCCCATCGATGGGAGCACGTGGTGGCCAACCAGGGTGAATATCGTGAGGCTCCTCTTAGCGTTTTATAAGCCTGATGAATGTGGATTAGACCTCTCTCTCTCTCTCTCTCTCTCTCTCTCTCTCTTTCTCTCTCTGTCGCCTGTTTCAGGCTGCTGCTTTTCTTCTTCGTCTTCCGTTCTCTTCTCTTCTTCTTTTTCAAAACTTGTTATTCCTCTTCGTCGTTATCCTTCCTCGTCTTCTTTCTCGTTCGTTCGTTCGACGCGAAACTCCCTTCGAAATTATGCAGATCCAACATCCTTGGTACCATTTTCTTGCGCCGCTCGGGCGAAAAGCTAATTTTTGCGTTAACCAGCCGACTTCGAAGATAAATGTTGGCCGACGGCACTCCATTTCAAGGAGGAAGAAGCCGATCGACGTTACTCTTCTCCTCTGTATTTGAATACCGTGGGTCGTCTGGAATGCTTTCCAGCTGACTCCTGGGAATGGTCCAGGTACCTGTTTTTATGTCCACCATACCATTATATAAACTTGCAGTTTTAATCATTCACTAGGTCTTAAAATTAATCTGGGAAGCAGTCTTACATTCTATATTCTAATATTTTTGGAAAAATAAATTTTTGTATAACTGATTTCTATGTCCTCAAATAGTAGTGTTATAATAATTTGAGTTGTCAGGAATTATTTGTGGAATATAATTCTTCGTCAACCCTTAATCACCATGTTGGGGTGAAATTTCACTTTGGATTAGAAGATAAATATTTTTAATACTTAATTAATAATAATATTTGGTGTTATATTACAGAGTTGAGCATTATTCCAAATAAATTTCTGACACAAATTTTGGCTAAACTGAAGATATTCATGAATAGGAAATAAATCATTTATTCGAATAAATTTTTAATTTAAATAAGAACTTCTTCGAGTAATTAAAATAACATTTAATTAAAAGTTCAATTAGTTATTCGAAAATAATAGAGAAAATCAAGTTTTATTTAAAGTAGAAGCTAATTCCAAATAAAAAGGTATTTAAATTAAAAATTATTTGGTATTTTATATAAATAGATTTTCATTCAAGGAAAAAATTATTTCTGATTCTTATTTCTGGTTCGGTTGAATATGGCTATCAGAGCTTCGTTTGAAATTTTTAGTATGAAGAATTAAAAATTGTTTAAACATGACCCTTTATCCACATGCATCGACTTCGCTAAAGGATTCTATTCAGACGCAGCTGTTGGAATGC